AAGCGGAAAAGATATTTTTTTAAGAAAAATAGGTACTTATATTCGACCTAAGAAATAAAATAAGAAGTACTTACTTAAGTAGCTCCAATTCTGCACATAGAATTAATAAGTGTAATTTCAAAATGTCGCTTTAACCTGTCTGATTTTAACAGTCTTGTATTAAATATCTCATCTAATATAAAAAATAACTCGACAAAAATATTTACTATAATCGATTCTTCGATATAATTGCACGTAAATAAAGATTGAACATCACTAAGGTTCACGCTCAAAAACACGTGAACAGCTCTGATGGAGTGGGATAGAAGTTCTCTTTCTAGGATTATTCCGCACCGCACGTGGCATGAGAGCGAGAGCGCGATATGTTCGAACGTGTTTAACTCAGTGTCGCGTGGCCATGACGCACTTTACAAGTTAGAATGTAGCTCTCTAAAATGATTATGCTGAATTAGGTATCAGACAATCATTCCCTCCCTTATAATAAGTGCTGTAATTTATGCTACCTAATTACAGGGTCAAAAAATACTTTTCTTCGCAAGAATTGTTAGAATTTATACCTAATTGTTTATGCTCTAGTTTGCCACATGAAGGTAGTAGGTACCTAGGCACAGATGTCTGATACCGATACTGCAACTGGAAATACCAACGAATAGGTATTACCTACTTCGGCAAGTAAGGTAGGTAACAAACAAACAGTTGTCTGTAAACTGCATCAAAATCGGTTCAGCTAATCGTGAGATAATCGCACAAACATACATAGATACGTACGTAAAGGTTAAACTGTGAACCTCCCTTTTGCTTTTTGAAGTCGGTTAATAAATTAAGTCGTCTTGGACGAACGAGCTCATGCCGAGACCCCAAACGGTTCAGGAATCCTCGACGTGAGACTGTGTGAATTTGAAAAGAAATAAGTGCATTGTTCTCAGTCCCTTTTTCCACATTCTTCGGTTAAAAAAAAAGGAACACAGAGACTTGACGATGGTGGACTATTACAAATTGTTTGTACCTATGTGGTGTATAGGTATTTATTTGAATTATCTAAGTGTACTTACCTAGGTAATTGTCTTTGCTTTAGGCATCTTTATTTTTATCTTGTCAATAACAATAATAGGTAATAATGAGTTACATTAATACGCTTGGTCTGTCAATTAGTAGCTTCTTAAAAATGAACTACCCACCCTGTGCGTCCAGCGCGACACTGACATACATGACATGAACTCAAACGAGAACGGTAAGGGGATTGTGTATTCCTTCTCGCCCTTGAAATCCCTTTGCAAAGTTTGAAGGTAACTTAAAAATCGACAATAAATAGAGATACTTACAGTAAAAACGTCCCTAAAAAGTAAGGGCAAGAAATAAGTACCTACCTACATCAGACTTAGCACTCACGTGTATGTCTCGGGCGTTGGTGGCGTAAGCCAGTACGTAGTTACATACAGCCTATAATGACACCTAGATTGCCTAGGTAGATATAATCAGACATAGAAGATGTAGGTAGTAGGTAGGTACTTAAAAAAAGTGGCCCCACAATATTTACTTCAATCATCAGAACAATGTTGTCTGAATGCTCAATCATCTCTTTTTATAACTATGCATTGACGGGTGGCCTAGTTTATAGTTAAAATCAGGGTCTCTTTATTCGTTACATAACACACAGATACGAATATCTACCTGTTACATGTGTGACTTGTCGAGTACATGTAGGTAACTCAAGTTGATCCTGTCTACTTACTTAGTAGGTACCCGGCTTCATTTCTTTTTCTGCCTGCCCAGGCGGCCTTCTAAGTGTCTTGCCGTCTTGCGTGATATAGGCACGCTCTACCTTAAAAATTCAGTAAAATTCTAATTTCTACAAGGGAAGTTTAAGGTTAGGTTTTATTAATCATTTCATAGTCCATTTTTATAAAAACTGAATACATTAGTATAAGAATCTACCTACCCAATCAGAATAATCAGCGTTAAATACGAGCGCTTCATCAACGCCGACGCTTCAAAATATTATACGAAATAAGTACGTATCCATAAGCTAGCGGCTGGGTGCACCACTACCACTAGACCGCATAAAATATGCAGCATTAAAAGTAAAGATAAGTACCTTTCATCGTGTCATGATGAGTTTGTTTACCAAACATACTTATTCACAAACACCACACCTCCCCCCCCCCCCCCCGGGTCTTACAAGTATTTTTAAGAGAAAGACTACTGAAAAGCGTGGGATTATTACCTAATTAAAACCACCTCAGTGGCCATTATCACCATCTTTACGAGTACCTACCGGATCCTCTGATAGACATACTACGGAGTACGGAGCCCACACCTCACAGTGCAACGCCTGTTACGGCACATCCCTACACACTACACTTAATAGGTTCAGGAAGGCGCGAACAACAATTATAAATTACACAATGAATTGCTCTGTGCGGGAATCGAACCCGCAATATATCGGGTAACAGCCACAGTCACCTGTCTAGTCAATGTACCTATCTACTGTGGAATTTGGAACTGGAACATTAGCTGTCAGCACTTTAACAGTCAGTAGGGTTTTTTTAAGGGGGGAAAATCATCGAATTATTCTCCCGCCTGGGCGAGGCGGGAAGACTCGTCAGACTCTTACGGATTAGAAACCACCCCGTTCTTACTCCTGCCTGCAACCCAGTTAAGTATTCCGCGGCTAGTCAGTAGTTAGGTAGGTTGGGGTCAAAATGTAGAAGCTCCTTAATGCATAACTCTATAATTTATATTTAATAGTACCTAAAAAATAAACATTTATAGTGACCAGACATAGAATGTACCTATCTAATGAGTCATTGAACGTAGCAGTACTTAGGTACCTAGTCGTAAACTACGCAATGCCACGCTACTGGCCACGCGATAGATCCGTGATAATAACATCTACTTTTAAGAGTAGGTACGCAACTTACTTTATCTAAGTATGTCTACTGACTCTATTATAAAGTTGTCGATTATTATTAGTTAATTAAAAAAAAAAAATTAATGGAAAAGTATAATCTTTTACGCTTTTTTACCTATACGGTATACCATTACCAAGTAAAAAGTATATCCAGACTTGTATTATAAATTTCGTGAGTCTTATTAATATTAATTATTTTTTCGGTTTACTCACGTAATTATTTGACGAGGAACTCGACTAGTTTCAAGTCATGCTAGAGGCATACCTAATATCTTCTTATTTATACACTTGGGTACTCATTCACTGTCGTGTTACTGCCTGGCTCTTGCAGTCTGCTTACGAGAGAGTCACCATCAACAGTGCATAGGTCATTATTAAAATACAGTATAACTTAGTGTTATAAACTTTATTAAATAAGCCACAGTTTACATAAAATATCAACGATAAGATTTTTTATAAAATATATAGATATAGTATATATGACACATCTCACGTAAATAAGTAGTAGAATAATGTAAAACTCTGTGCTAAAATGTGTTAAAAGTATAATGTTCATTACGCACAACGTGTATGTTAGAGTATTGTATACCTAGTCATGACGTTCATAATGAATAGTATGTAGGTATTACGTTTCGGTCAGAGTCCGTGCATAGAGTGCAATATCAGTATTGCGCAATCGTTTAACTGCTGTTGACGTAAATAGACGTATGGTAAGGACGTTTATACAGTACACAATATCAAATACATTAAATTCATGTACATCTATGAAGTTCCTTGAATTAGTTGACAACAATTAAACATTATGTAGTAATATGACAGCAAGAATAACAACAGTTACAGTAGGTAGGTATAATATATAATATAACATTCATATACTACTCACAATGATATAATGTAATAAACATTTAGCAGAGTGAGTTTTAGCTGGTCATTTTTAGAAACACAAAACAACAAATTTTGTCTAATTCATTAGTTTTGTATTAATTTTGCTGACAGTACCTTACGTGTACCTGTTTCATACTTGATAGGATGACGTTTGGCCACCATTTCGCCTGGTGTTAAGCGTTGATGTGGCCGACGATGGAGCACGCCTACTTATAAGCAACCTGTTTACTTGGGACTTGAAGTTGTATTCCATTGTGTGGTGGTCCATGTAGGGTGGCGCCGTGCTGTTTATCTGGTAGTACGATAGTGAAACGAACTAGGGGGAATAAGGATACTGGTGTAAATGTAGAAATGAAGAATCTTCTTCATTTCTACATATTTACACCAGTATCCAGAGAATAGACAAGTTGGAGTCCTCAAGGTTTCAGAGACGCAAACGCTGTCGCGAACGTGTAGGCGTACACCAGGACGTGGAACGAATTTATGCTCCAGGGAGGACCCTAGGTAGCCTAAGTAAGATACGTCCGACGGACATCTGATTTGGGTCTCCGAAAGAAACAGGCGTGTAGGTTCTCAGTCTCAAGATGGTTGTGGACTTGACATATTAGGGAGTGAAGGGATGGTAGTGAAATAGGTCTTAACACATACGACCCACAGACGTGCACCGCAGTTAGCTACATCATTACGAGGCCAGCCAGGAGACTGCGGGGACGCCCGAGCCCCCAAACGGGTATCCATCGTGCCCTCTCCTCCAGTCGCCAACCGGCACGATGGCGTACCCATGGCATTTTTCGAACGGCTGTCCCTTACATTAGTGGCTAGTACGTTACTTGGGCCCACAACTATCCGCGGTCGGCCAGCAGTGCCTCGGATCCTGCTAGCCTCCACGACTGGCCGCCCGATGCAGCCACACCAGCGCGTGTCAGGCCGGTCAGCCTGCATTGGAACACCCACTACAACTCATCCCCTCATTCGACGTCACCGAGCATCGTGGCGGAACACGGTTAGACCACTTAGCGACACGTTTTGCTCGATGTGTATAAGGCCGTCGGCCAAAGCCTACCACCATGAAAATAGTTTTCAAAAATAAAGCTATGGTAAGGAACGATAATTTGCTGAACGGTGTTTCGCTTTCAAACTCACTCTGGTTATTTGAGGAAAGGCACGAGCTAACATTAAGATTATGAATATTTCTTAAATAACACTAACCGACGGCAGCCAACAATAAAGTAGCAATATCTTCGCGAGGCGAGCGGGCTGTTAATTGCATAGTTACCGCGCCTCCAGTCATGACCAGCCGAGCTCTGACGAGTACCGGCGTTCCACCGCGCCAAACACCACCACCGCGGATTTCTTTCACTGCATCTCCTGAGATGGCACCCTTCGGTAGCCCTAAGTGTTCACATACGGCCTTAGCAGCTTCCCCTACGTCGGACTGAGATAGACCGAAAGTGTCACAAGCTTCTTCTGCAGAAACAGCCCTGTCCCAAGTTGCTTCCCAGTCGTCAGAAGCTGCGCGTGTCCTGAATTGTTCAGCGCAACTCACTTCTATTTCTTCTAATGGGTAAGTATCGGCATATCCTTCTCCTGAATCAGGTAAACCAGTTGTCGGATCGCAATCATGAACCACAAATTCCAATGTTGCGCCAAAGGTTCCCAAAGTTTCAATTGGATTTTCAGGAAATTCAAGAACACAAAATACACTGCCTTGTTTGTCATAAGGCAATTGCTCGCAAGGAACTTCAATTAGCATTTTGTAACCAGGGGCAGCTTCTAACCGTATGTGAACTTTCTTAAGAAGTTGATCGCTCAATGTATTCAAACATTCAAATTGTAAGACCAAATGACGAGCGAAAATGTGTTTTACGCATTGGACACGGTACTCGGTTTCTGGTTCAGTTAAGTCAACAGACTCACATGTTTTGAATATTGGTCCGAGTTTTTCAATGCCTGGAATGATTTTTAATTGATCAGCATATTGCTCTTCACGAGAAACGATCGGTGCTCGTGATTCGATTTCAACTGGGGCTTCTTTTGGCTCTTGTGTCTCCTCAGCCATAGTAGGGACTGTGGCCAAATTAAAAGGTTCGGACAAATCACCATCAGAATTAAGATAATCCTGTAATGCTTTTTCCAGGAGCACAGGATTAGGTATCGGCACGTTAATAATATAGTCATTGATGAGTTGAGCATCACCAGAATCCAAAATTGCGCTATAATATATCGCACGATCACGTACTTCATCATCGTCATCTAATTGACATCTAGCCAAAAGTACGCTTATATTAGGAAGCAATTCTGGACGAGCAGCTCCAAAACGAGCAACAGCAGAAACAGCGGCAGCACGCACAGGACCAGACTCCAAAATCACTCTATTATATATGTATCGAATATATCTGGATGGCTGACGAGCTTTTGGTCCCTCACGACCCAAAATATGCAATATGCGCACAGCTAACGACGCATGTTCACAGTCTTCAATGAATTCACATAGATGTGCCAAGCCTGTCTCTTTTGCATCGGGATTTTCTTCCACGAGAGCAATAATTGCATCAGCAATAGCAGTTTTATATTGCAATCCTCCCTCATCACGAAGCATACCAGCCAGAAATGATGCAAGTGATTGATGTTTACGTGGGTACTTGGAGCATAAGCGCCTAATTGCCCGTACTACTACGATTTTGAATTCATCTGAAATCTCTGACATGAAACTAGATATCTGTTTCATTAGACGATCAATAGAACTCTCAGCTCCTGTAGCTAGAAGAGTAGTAACAGCTAGAGTGGCAACAGAGCGGTTTGGATCCGAAATTAAATTTTCCAAGTCAACTGCACAGGCTGCTACTGCATTAGGATGTTTTGCTGTTAGTTTAGCTAATGTCCGCGCACCAGCTAGGCGCATTGTTGCCTTAGAAGAACCACAAAATATTTGCAGAACAGAAACAGCTTGAGCAAGATCACGAGCAGATTTTCTCAAATTTACAATTGCATGTGCAGCTTCATAAACTACAATCTCAGACTTGTGACGCAAGCAGGATTCAATAAAGTCCACATAAGGTTCTGAAGCATCAGTTTGGTCCTCTTCCGCTAATTTTGCGGCGTAACGAATGAGGAGGCAAAGTGCATAAGGTGAACGGAGTGGTGTCCGAGCTAGTTTTGTTACAAGTTTCACTGTGGAGAGACGGTCATTGCGACGAGCTCCTGCAACTACTGCTAAAGCATGGTATGACACCATTGCGTTATCTGATGTGATGACACCCTGAAAGAATGAAAGTAAACATAAAACATTTTGTTGTGTATTAAGATAGATAAAGATATTAGGAGATGGTGTGAATTTAAGTTTTCAGTTAAATGACTGGACTGAGAGTAGCATAACAATAATGTCTTAGTGAAACAAGTCTCATTTAGCAGAAAGAAGAACAGAAGTTAATATTTTCATCAATTTCTAATTTGCTTATCTCTATAAGCCTTGTAGTTGTGTGTTTTAGTTGTGTGTGTAGTTGTCTTGTAGCCTTCAGCATTAAATTAAATTGTAGGCCTTGCGATGAATTTGAAAAAATACACCAAATAACAAACCATATAATAAAATTGCAATGCATAGCTAAATAAAATTGCAATAGCATGATAATCATGTTGCTTTTATTTCATCATGGCATCACATATAATAGAAATCATTGTTAATATCTTTAAAGATAGATTTTTTTTAGAAGCTCAGCCAAGTTCAGTTTTAATACAATGTGAATTACCTGTGCCTCCATCACCCATCGACGTACTAGGTCAGGTACTGCAGCCGATAAGTGAAGTGCCGACACCAGAGCAGCAGAGCTCACTGCAGGGTTTGTGTCTACAATGGCTTGTTTCATGTAGCGCTCAATTGCTTGTAACATTGTGCTGTCAGTAATTGTGCATAAAGCGCGAATGGCAGCAGCTCTATACAAATCTTCTTTGCCAGTCATATCTTTAGTAAGAGATGATGTCACGATAATCACATCTTGTGCCATGGAACTAAGCTCCTTTATGGTTAGGTATACCAGTCGGCGTAACACCACATCTTTCGATTGAAACAACTTAGTGGTTGCGAAAAATATATCAGTAGCTTCTTGAGTAGTTAGTTTCTCCCCTTGATTTAGCAAATATAGGATTTTTGTAAGGATATGTATACATTTTCTCGGAATAACTGGTGTTGAGTTAAAATATCTTGCCTCTTGCAAAAGGGTAGTCTTGTCCAAATTCTGAAAACCACTATCCTCGTCTTCTTTTTTGTCGCGGCGACTCATCGTAGATGATTGAAATTATCTATTTTTTGTATTATCAGATGTTGATTTTACAGAACAAGCAGTAAAGCCAAAACGCCACCCGACACGTCAATCACTTACACATTTAGTGTTGCCAATTTTGTCTATGTAAATTATTACCAATTTTTTTATTCAGATCATTTGGTATCCTATTGGACTTTCTTGTTCTTGTATGAATTTCATTCATTACTAATTTATTTATGTGTTTAATAATTCCTAATACATTAAAAATCTGACAGCTGACCTAGACTTTTAAAAATATTAAACTTTATGCATAGCCTACATATATGGGCGATTTTTCGGAAAAATTGGTACTCAAAATAGGTAATTATACTGAGCAAATACTAAGTATATTTTTCTTTTTTTACTTAAGTATTTATTCAAAGAAGTGGACAAATATCCAGTATTTATATATCTGCAGTACCAAATGCAAATGATTAGTCACGAATCGCAGTATTTATAGTCGCGATGCTATAATACAATTAAACGCTAAGTACTTTGATCAATATTTCATATTTTACATTTGGTTCTTCCAAATTTTAAGAAAATTGACGGTAAAATCTAGGTGATTTATAGAAATAAGATAAATTATTTTTGAAAAGTAATCTGTACTACCGTGTTTTCCATTTTGAACGCTTAACAGCTTGCAATCGGATCACTTTCAGGTGTTGAGATTGAGAATGTTTTATCATAAAAATTATAGGTACTAACTTTTTGTTAATCAATTGTGATATGATAATCTAGAAAAATCTTGTAGGGTTGGAGGGTATGCTTATAAGTCTTGTCAAACCCTAAATTCCACATATACCGGCCAAACAAAATCATTATCACTAGACTAGTATGTGACCACTGCTGACAAAACGCCTCTTCTTACACGATCAAGGCATTCCTTGTTCATTGGACATTGTCAAATAATCACCATGCTTTGAACCCGCACCCTAGTGATCGAGAAGCGGGCATTTTTTGTCGAGGTCGAGGAGGATTCCTTGTACAAAGTATAGCGGCCAGCAGATAAATTTATTTCAATCTGTAAAATTTTTTCATGGGGTTTTGGACTTTCATTCAAAACAATTAATAGAGAAATTAAACAGAAAAGGATTGGTTGACCTGGTATCTTACAATACTGCCACCTTACAATAAATTAACAGTATCATAATCACATTAATAAGGGGGCGTCCATAAATTACGTGAGGTGTTTTTTTTAATTTTAGGTCACTCCCTCCCCCCTGGTGAGATTTCGTGAGATTTTATTCAACACCCTCCCCCATCCAACAGGTTTTTAAAAATGTTGGTTTTTCACGTCGCTTTTGGATTGTCATTGTAAAATAGCATCGTGCTTTTAATTTACATTACTTAAGACTAGTAGTCAATATTGCTGAGAGTTATAAATGTAATAAAAATGTAACAATAGAATACTATACGTATAAAACAAATGCATGTATAATTAAATCTTATGCATGTAGAATCTGGACTAAAATAGTATATTTTTTTTGTTTCAATCTGAAAAAACTTACGTGATAGTAGGCAAGACCCCCTTCTCTTCAACGTAAGATTAGATAAGATTAGAGTCTACCCCCTCCACCTGTCGCGGTGAACCTAACGGGTAACCGGGGCTCCGGCTCAACGTGCAGGAGAAGGAACGGGGTGGTTTTTAGTCAGTAAGAGTATGACACTCCGTCCCGCCTCACCCAGGCGGGAGCAATCATTCGATGTTCGATGATTTTTCCCCCCTTAAAAGAAAAAAACCCCCTCTCCCTCTTAAACATCTCACGTAATTTATGGATTTATTAATGACGAGAAATAAAAAAATATGTTTGTTGTGCGAGAGTCTCCTAAATATGTATGTCGAAGCGTCAACGCATATCAATTAATTTAGATGTGGCAACTATTGTTTGAGAACGTCAAGTAATTACTTGAGGATGGTTAGCGCGGAGTAATGGCAACACTGATGGAAATATCGATCCGGAAGTTTAATCAGACTTTGACATTTGACAGCGAATGACGTTGACAGACGTCACTGAGCGCGGGAAACACTTTTGGAAAGGATCGCGGCGGTGGCGGCAGCTAGAAGCGTTACTCCCTGCTAAACTTCCTGCGTTCTTACTATTATCAGTAATTTGGTATTTTGGTGTGATTCGACAATGTCGCGACCCACGGGTAGCGTATCTCCGACATCAGAAGTGGGATTGGACCACGACGACGACTCACGCGTTCGTAATGAAGCTAGTGACGAAAAATGGATGCGTCTGTTAGAACAACAGAACCGCAATTTTCTGACGCTGATTGAAGCTATGAAAACACCTACTTTGCCGTCACATGGCTTTCGTTTACCCGATTTCGATCCTGAAAAACAAGATGTGGATGCACGTGCTTGGGTGACGACTGCAGAGATGTGTTTGACGAACCAAGTCCAGCATGGCGCCCCGCTTATGGTTGCTCTAAGTCGCGCCTTGAAGGGAGGAGCTTCTACCTGGCTATCTACCGTGTCGTATCCTGGTATGACGTGGACCGATTTTAAGCGACTTTTTATTGCAAGGTACGATAATTCCGCTACTATTGCTTCGTTCATGATTGATTTGCAAAGCAGCAGGCCTAAAGAAAACGAGTGTCTTGCTTCCTACGCTGCTGGTTTAATGTCGTCGATCATGGCAAGATGGAATGGTCTTAGCACTGAACGTTTGGCTATTGCTACTATATTGGCTCACATTTCTCAATTTGATCGCCGTGTGCAACGCTTATCTTTCACGACCGATATTCAGACACGTGGCCAGCTACAACAAGAGCTACAAGCTGTTTCTTTTATGAAAAGAAAGGTACCTAGTGATGACCGGGATGCCCCTGAGAAGCGATACAGGGTGAATAACTCTGAGAAGCCTCTGAAGTGTTTCATCTGTGGTAAGCCAGGTCACAAATCCGTGCAATGCTACCATAAGGGTGTGAAACAGGATAATCAAGCTACTCCGAAGCACCACAACCACACCAGTGGCAATGGGAGAGGTTCATCAGCAACTGCGAAGCCTCGTGCATCTGGGATCACCTGCTTCCACTGCCATGCGCAAGGCCACTACGCATCAAGCTGTCCACAGCGCACCGAGAGGAGCAGTGCCGACTCCGGGTCTTCCAAGCCTGTCAATGAGAAGAGGGTTGACCTGTGCCTCTTGAACGCACCGACTGGAACTCTATGTCACTCCGGTGAGAAATTTCCATTTTATTATGACTCTGGTGCTGAGTGTTCATTAATAAAAGAATCAATAGCCTGTAAATTTAAAGGAAAGCGTATTAATGAGACTGTGACTATGACTGGGATAGGGCAGACTTCCGTTAACTCAACAATACAGATTTTAACTTTGGTAGAGATTGATGATATTAATATTGAGGTTTGTTTTCATATATTGTCTGATCATCTTCTACGTTATGGTATTATGATTGGACGTGAGATTCTAGAACATGGTTTGACTGTACAGTTGACTAGTGACCGAGTTAAGATCTTTAGGTCTCTTTTTATTGCTTCTTGTGAGGTAGAGCGAACCCCTGAAATTGACTGGAACTCTATTGATACTGACATACCAGCGGATCGTAGAAAAGAGTTAGTTAGTACCTTGCAGGCCTTTGAGAAATCTTTCACTACAGGTATACCTACTGCACCAGCCGATACGCAGCCAATGCAGATTCGTCTGAAGGATACAAGTAAAACTGTAAATCGACGTCCTTATCGATTGAGTGTGGAAGAGCGTAAGGTTGTACGTGGTAAAATTGACGAGTTGCTTCAGGCTGGTATTATAAGGCCTAGTTCATCCCCTTACGCGAGTCCTATACTCTTGGTGGAGAAAAAGGATAAGTCTCTTCGACTATGCGTCGATTATCGTGAATTAAATGACAACACAATCTCTGATCGTTTCCCTTTGCCTCTTATATCGGATCAAATTGATAGATTGCATGGAGGACACTACTTTTCCACCATCGATTTGGCATCAGGTTTTCACCAGATCCCCATTGCAACAGAATCTATTGAGAGCACCGCCTTTGTTACCCCCGATGGTCATTTCGAATACCTGACGATGCCATTTGGCTTGAAGAATGCACCCGCGGTTTTTCAGCGTGCGATGATAAATGCTCTTGGAGATCTTGTGAACACTTATGTCGTTGTGTATATGGATGACGTCTTGATTGTTGCATGTGACGTTGACGAAGCCTTGGAACGTCTTAATATTGTCCTTAAGGTGTTGTCTGAAAAGGGTTTTACCATCAACTTTAAAAAGTGTACTTTTCTGAAACAAAAGGTAGAGTACTTAGGGTTTGAGGTTAACCGCGGAGAGATTCGTCCTAATCCACGTAAGATTGAAGCATTAACGGCACTACCACCGCCTGAGACTGTGACACAGCTACGGCAATTTATCGGTTTGGCGTCATACTTTCGCCAATTCGTGGCACGGTTCTCACAGGTGATGGCGCCGTTATATGCCCTGACTTCTGGGAATGGTAAGTTGACCTGGAAGCCGGAACACGAGGAAGTTAGGCAGAAAATTGTAACCGCTCTCACAAATGAGCCTGTGCTCATGATCCATGACCCTGATGCTGAAACTGAAGTTCACACGGATGCCAGTGCCGTAGGCTACGGTGCGGTGTTACTGCAAAGAAAAGAAGGTAAGCTACACCCAGTCGCCTACTACAGCAAGCGTACGTCTGACGCCGAATCGAAGTACCACTCGTATGAACTCGAGACCCTCGCGGTGGTCAATGCCGTAAAACATTTTAGGCGTTATCTCCATGGTCGCAAGTTCAGAGTAGTCACCGATTGTAATTCCCTGCAGTCCACACGCAAGAAGTTGGACCTGACGCCACGTGTTCATCGGTGGTGGGCCTTTCTACAAGGGTTCGATTTCGACATTGTCCATCGTGAAGGTAAAAACATGTGCCACGCCGACTTCTTCTCCAGGAACCCATTACCGCCAGCTGAAACTAAAAACAAGGTTAGTGAGAAG